TTCGTGCTTCGATTTGCCGGCGAGTTCAAGGTCGCTACCGCAGGGTGGGCAGGGGGAGGGGCAGGGTGGGGTGGGGTGGTATATTTGCCACTGGTGCCTCCACTAATTGGTGGCCCTTGCGGTAAGGCTGTGTGCGAGACGAGACGCGATTCTTCCTACTGCAGTTTGTAAGTGAACCTTTTTCGTAGCCTACTTTTCTGCGCCCTTTTTCTGAGCAAAAAGGCGGTGGAAATTTGAATAGGTTTTCACAGCCAAAAAATTAGCTGGACCAGCCGGTAAACACTTGACAAGGCAATTAGATTAATTAAATAACACTCCCGCATACTTTCAAACTTCTTGGACATTCTTCATTTGTAATTAATTTAATTATTTTATTTACCCTGTTGGTAATTCTAGTACTTTACTCAGTTATAAATTTATCGTAGCAATTTTAGATTTAAACAAATATTTTAATTGTGTTTAACGTTTTATACTTAAGTCTGCGACATTTTAAAACAAATATATAAAACCAATTCACTGAGTTTCTTGATGTCTTATTTGGCTTACAGAATATACTATGCTGCTGTCAAGTTATAAAATTTATATTTATATGCACTTAAAGCATGAATGAAATCACGTATAATTTTTTGGGATTATATAATAACATTTTAGAAGCATGATGGTTAAACTATAACTAATCTTTTTAGAAATAGAGAAGAAGCCTTTATTACATATTATATAAAATCAATGTTTATGTTTATTTATAGAAATTAAATATATTTTCTTAAAGCATATAGGTCATCCATCATTGTATTGCATTTGAGCATAGAAAAACCATTTTGTCCATTATGCGCCAGTTAATGCTATTTAATTGCATAACTCTAGGCACCTATTCCATTTCCTTGGAATCGCCAGAGAGTTATTCAGCAAAAAAAATAGGAACAATTGAGCACAACTGGCATCGAATAATTAATAATTACCCCGTCATTAGGCGAAGGCATAAGCAATCACAAATAAAAATGCAAATCACTTGGCATTGGACCCACTCACAGAGTCAATTGCAGTGGGTCGAATGATATTGCTTTGTCCTCGCAAAAGGCCTTTACACTTGGCCCAAAAAAAAAAAATGGGGAGAAAAAAAATAAGTTGCGAGTGGCCAACTCAATGAGTTCGCCTCCCAGTTCGCTTATCGCTGTGCAAGGATCGCCACAAAGGCCATGTTACGAAATTATTGGACACACACACACGCGCTCCCACACACACTTACACACACGCACACTGAGAGAAAAAGAAAGCCGCATGTGTGTGAGGGGGACATGCAATGCAAATAGTCAACACGCCGCCACATGCCGTGCACACAAATCAAGGGCAACATGTCTCATTCCGGGTCTGTTCCCACGTTTGGGGCAGACGCAGAGGGGGGGAGGGGTGGTGGTAGAATTGGCGGACTAGTGGGTGGTGGGTGGCCAGGGGGTGGCCGGCGGGGGTGGCGAGGTCGCCTTGCCGGGCAATTTAAATGGCGGCTACATGTCGCAGCTCTGGCGTCGCGTGTTCTCGCTCTTACTCTTCCCCACACCGACATCACTCTGTCGGTACACCGCGAGAAAATATTTAAAAACTGGGGTAAGCTTTGTCATGAGTCTTAAAAATAAGCTTATAATTTATTGTGCTACTTGTAAAAACAAAAAAAAATGTTCAACAACATTTTTCAATAATATTTGAAAGATGTTTTTTAAAGCAATTAAGTTGTAAACATATCAATATCTATATAAATATATATATATACAAATTTGTTGTTATCTTCAAAACTGTCCCTTGCTCCTTTTAATAAAATATATTTATTTAAAGTTTACTTGCTCCAATCGATCTACATTAAAAGCATGGAAGAACATAAAAAACATAGATAAAAAACTGTTTGTCACAGAAACACCAAACATTTATAAGCATTCTTAAGAAACGGTCTGATTACAGAGTTACTGCAACATCAAACTTGCAATTTAGTGAGGCTTAATAAAAACATTGCTAATAAATAGAAACGAGGACGGAAGCTAACTTCGGCAAGCCGAAGTTTTAATACCCTTGCAGACTTTGCCGAAGTTGCTAAAACTGAAAAAGTAGCGAAAGGAATAAGATATACATAAATAAACTAGATTTGCGTCGTTTGATGTCAATTGCTTTTATACTGCAAAAATGTCACATAAAAATGGAAAAAAAGGGATACTTTCGCAGCCTTTAACTATTTTTCCTACGGAAGCTATAAGAAATAGACGTCCGATCGGCAAGCGCTTTTACCCTAATCAAGATATGCGTAAATAAATAAGACTTGGAAAAATGTATGTCAGTAGCTTACACACTACGCGAAAAATTCAGAAAACCAACAAATTTGGACCGATTTCACCCTGTTGTTCCTATGGGAGCTGTAGGATATAGACGTCCGATCGTCACGTGCTTTTACCCTAATCAAGGTATGCATAAAAAAATACGATTTGGAAAGATTCATGTCAATTGCTTATATACTGTGCGAAATATCCTAAAAATCATTAAATTTTAACCGATTTCACCGTATTGTTCCTATGGGAGCTATAGGATATAGACGTCCGATCGCCAAGCGCTTTTACCCTGATCAAGGTATGCATAAAAAAATAAGATTTGGAAAGATTTATGTTAATAGCTTTTACACTGCGCGAAATATCTTCCATTCTTGAAAGTTATATCCGATTGTTCCTATGGGAGCTATAGGATATAGACGTCCGATCGCCACGCGCTTTTACCCTGATCAAGGTATGCATAAAAAAATACGATTTGGAAAGATTCATGTCAATAGCTTTTACACTGCGCGAAATATCATCAATTCTTGAAAGATATATCCGATTGTTCCTATGGGAGCCATAGGATATAGACGTCCGATCGGGGCGATTTTCAAACTTGATCTGCGTACACATGTTTTAGGACGAGTGTGAAAGTTTCAGATCGCTAGCTTTTAAACTGAGCTCGCAAACGGTATTGAAACAGACGGACAGACGGACAGACGGACAGACGGACATGGCTATATCAACTCAGGAGGTGATCCTGATCAAGAATATATATACTTTATAGGGTCGGAAACGTCTCCTTCACTGCGTTACAAACTTCTGACCAAAATTATAATACCCTCTGCAAGGGTATAAAAAGTGGTATTCCCATATTCAAAATATATTTTCAATATGTTTATAAAGTTTAAAAAAAAGAATCAACCAAGACCAGTTTCGGTGATGTTTTCTCGCAGTGCTTGCTTTTTTGTCGCCCACGTGTTGGCCACTAAAAAGGGGGATAGGCCCCAGAAATGAGCGAATGTGTGTGCCTTTGCCAATTAACTGAAACTGCAGAGTAATGTTTTGGGGCCAAGTCAGTACTCCCGATTGCCACCCCCCGATTCACCCCCTGCCACCCTTTCATTATAATATTCGCTTTCTGTTATTGTTTTCTTGTTGCTGTTTCGCCGTTTGTTGTTTGTCGCTTCTGGCATTGACATAAATTCCTTTTTAGCGGCGAACAAAAAAGCAGAGCAACAAAGGGCACAGCTCACAGCGACACGCAAGCCACATTAAAGCAATTCCACACAGCCCATTCCAGGCCCCCGAAAGCCAAGGCATTACATAAAAGCGGTAAATATATGACAAAATAAACCAAAGTTCGCAGTCAAACGCGTCGGGAAAAGTGGGAAACAGCTGCCACAGATCCTTGAGTTTTGAGCTGAGAGTAAACTTTGATTTGTGCTGACCTAGGGCAATTAACCGTCGTCATTTTGACTCTGCCACGAACCCAAAATCACAAATGCCACTATTTCCCCCGCCTCGGTGGCGTATACGTAACGCGGCCTGGCAGACAGGATAACTCGGGGGATGGCGAATTCTGGGCAGGACACTGACTTATGCCGGCTCCAGTTAGTCGCACAGATGACTACGCATTTATTTCTCGCCTTTCCCCGGCCAACCGAAAACTTTTCAGTGCTTGTTTTTTTTCTGCTCCCAGAGTTATTCTCCCTTTATTCTATTTTTTGGCCGGAGTTTGGAGCTGGCGCCGTCTACTGTCTGTTGATTCAGATTCGGTTATAGATTCTGGATTCGTTTACGGTTTCTGTGTCTGACTTTCGGGCATTGACTTGGCGGCAACTTGGCTCTGTCTCTGACCCCAAGCCAAAGAGTAACTATTTTTCATTCCTTTTTTTTGTTTGGGCTTTTTTTGGCGTATTCCCTCTGTTGCGGACATTACGCATACGCCCTGTGGGACGAAAGAATCTCTGTAAGCAAGCTGATTACACCCATGTGGCACTTGCGCACAATTGTTGGGACGTTAAAATTAGCAGGAGAACTTTTATCATTTAAATTTTTATGGAGAGTAAAATCAAAGTGCCACAGTAATCTCATTGGATTGCGTAAGTAGTTTCTCATCAATATGTATAAAATAAAGTATCAAAAGATTAGTTAGACTTTGAACTACCATGCAATTAAATTAATAATATAATTTCATATGTTGTCAATATATTTAACAGCAAAATCTGTATGTTAATGACTTTAGATGTCATAATAATATTATTTTTATATTACATTTAGCATACAACCTGTTTAAGATTACTGCGACACTCCAGAATATTAAAAACCTTATTTTATAACTAAATACCTAATAGTTTTCATAAACATATACAGATTAGCTAAATACACCCCCTATTTCTTACGGGACTTAAGTTATATTTTAGTTTAGGTGCTTAAGGGCAAGGAGAATCAACAAGGCGAAAAAGCATTGAAAAGCGATAAGCAAAGCGATACGCAAAACTAATTAAAAAATACAATGTATTTGCAGGTATTCTTAATCATTTTATTCAAATCATTACAAGCAAGAAAATCAGATAAATGGCAGCGCTAAATCAAATGGTAAGAAAAGCTCTTATTTGCTGCAAAAATTTCATTAATATTTGTATATTTGTTTTCATAGAGGTGAGGCATAAGAGCGGTGGGTGCTTTTGGATTTTTGGTGATGGGTACTTCTCATAGGGGTTCTCCGGTCCCTTGTCCTTTTTCTTGCCACTAGCAGGTGTGCCCTTCCGCGGTCGATTCATCATGGGATCGTCCATGGTTCGTGATGATTGCTGTCTCGTGTGGGCCGGCGGTCCAGGTGGTTTCTTTTTCTTCTTTTTACCAGCCTCTGGTTGCATGGGATTGAAGGCAAACTGCAGATGTTGCTGATATTGCGGCTGCTGCTGTTGCTGATGTTGCTGTTGTTGCTGTTGTTGCTGCTGCTGCTGCTGTTGCTCGCGACGCTCTAGAAAAGCGGCATTTGCCGAGGCCACCGTGGCTATTCTCTGCTGCTGCTCCAGATCCTCAAGTTCCTTCTCTCTCTTTTTGGTCATCTGCACAATCTGCGAACTGCGCCGTCGGAGGGCGGCCGCATAGGGTGTGGGCGTGGCCACCGCCGGCACAACTTCGCCCACTCCGAACAGCCGCCTGATGCGCCGCCGGCTGTTGATGAACCCGAGTCCCAGCTGGACCCCCAATCCCAATCCCGCCACCGTTCCCGCCGGCGCAGTCGTCTGGCTGAGGGAACTGCTGCCACCCCCCTCGCTGCCAGCCCCTAGCATCTGGCTGAAGTTGCTGTCCAGGTCGCAACTGCTGGCGGAATCGGCGCCGCAGGGAAACAGATATGTATTCAGGGTGCTCAGGGTGGTGGATGTGGAGGTCCCGGTTCCAGTTAGAGTTCCGATTCGGCTGATTGCCCCCGTGTTGCTGCCGCCCAGTGGATGTTGCTGGTGGGACTCGAGTGATGGTGCTGCCGCTGCTCCTGCTGCTGCTGGCAATAGCTGGTGTGGCAGGTTCAGCGGCAGAGTGAGGGGCAGGGGCAACATCACCGCCGTGGAACCACTTGCGCTGCCGGTGGTGCTGCTGTCGTAACTATGTGGATTCACATAGATGTGGTTGTTGTTGGTGGCTGATGTTGCTCCTGCAGTTGCTCCTGTTCCTGCTGGTGCTGCTGTTGCTGCTGCAGTGCTGCTGGTGTTGACCACCAAAGTGGTGTTGCTGCTGATCTCATGGTGATTGTTATTGCTGGCGAGATTCGGATTGTTGCTGCTGTTGGTGCTGCTGTTGTTGTTGATGTTGCTGCCGTTCGTGTTGCTCAGGTTGACCCTGTAAAAGCTGGTGCTGCTGGTGGCATTGTTGTTGTTGTTGTTGCTGCTGCTGCTGGAGCGTGCTGGTGCCGTTGCAGGTCGCAAGTTCTGCGATCCGGATCCCGATCCAGTTGCATTGGCTTCCGTGTTGGCAGTGGTTGTTGCTGCTGCAGCTGCAACTGCTGTTGCTCTTGGGGCTTCCGCCTGCTGCTGCTGTTGCGGCTGTTCGTTGCCATTGTTGCTGCTCATTGCTGTGGTTTTTGGGTGATTCTTAAGGCTTTAAACTATTCCAAACTAATGTTTATGACTCATTTTAAACATTTGCAAATATTTCTGGTCGCTTTTTATGGTGGCTTATTACTTTCGTTATATATTAAGGAATCATTATTTGTAAATTATGGCTTAATAATGTATATGAAATTGTATTTTATTGTTTATTTTAGTTATTTGATTGCAGTGTTTTTTGTAGAGTATTTTAGAACCTTTTGAAATAAGTTTTTTCAACTTAAAAGTTTAATAATCATACTGAACACGAATTAACATTTTTACATGAGGTATTTTGATTTTATTTTATGTAAATTTTTTACTTTCTTTAAATGTATCTTTAGTTTTATATCACAATTTTATTAAATGTTTAAAATTAAATGGTTTTTAATACTTGACACACGCGCTTTAAATGTATCGTTTTATTATTAATAGTGTTTTCATAACCGATTTATGTTGAACTTTTACTTGTTAAGGTGCTAAGAACTTGTTATCTTATTAGGAATTACAAATTTGTAAGTTATTGATTTATATTTGATTTATGGTAGTAAAGGTGCTTTTAGAATTTAGTTTTTCCCTTCATCATTAAAGTTTACTTGAATTAAATGTTTTTCTATTTATCTTTTTATATATGAAATATTAAATTATTACTTCAAAACTGTATTTTAATTTATCATATTTGTAATTTCCACATATATTATAGCATGGTTAGATTGTTTGCTTAAACTTCTTTAAGGACCCCTCCTTTTACATTTTACATTTCACAATTCATGTTTTTTTTCTTGGATTGCATCCAAATGGAGTTGAATGCACTGCTCCGGTTACTTGTAAATGGTAAATGGTTATGACCAGACGTTAGCTAATCGCCGAGTTTTTCCTGGCCTTTCCACGCACTTTTCTCCCGCGGCACTTGAACAAAAATCACAGACAGGGTTTCAGGAGGTCATTTGCGATCATCTTATCAAATCTCACGCACTTAAAACACCGCCGAAAGGGGGCACTCGAAAAAAATTGTTTAAAAAATACATTCGAGTTTGCTGCATTTCTCTCTCAACTTCCATTTGATTTTATTGAGTTTTATTGTGTTAACACACACTCGGTGTTATCAGTCAGAGCCACGTGCTTAACGCGCCGCGTGTCACAATTGTATGAACTTTGTGCCGCGTTGTTGACAATGCCAAAAGCCAACAGCAGCAGCAGCAGTAGCAGCAGAAGTGGCAGTGGCAGTGGCAGAAGCGGCAGCAGCAATGCCACTAGCAACAACGAAGTTGCTCCACACGCACACACACACACACACACACACACTCGAGGGCTTGAGGGAGAGAGCAGGACACACAGAGAGACAGAGACGGGGAGAGAGCGAGAGAAAGAGAGAGAGAGAGGCTCTGTTAACTGGCTTCCTGGCTGGCTGGCCGGGACAAACTATTCGCCAAAAACCAGAACCAAAAGCCAGAAACAGCACAGCTCCAAAAAATAAAAAAAATCCAAAAAAAAAAAGAACAGAAATCTAAGCCAGCAGCACTACTTGAACCCCTCACACACACACATAAAAATATTATACATATATATATATCCTGTATAGTATAGGCATGGCAACGATTCCTCATCGCTGTTGTCGTCGTTTCAATTTCGGCCAGTTTCGGTTCAGTTGGGTTCACTTCATTGCTTAACTTAACTAAATGCTGCAGATGGCGGCAACACACACACACTCACACAATGGCGCACTCACACACACTCATTCACACACACATACATATGCTGGCTGCCCGACTTTAACTCAACTCACAAGAACAACAAAGGCCAAAGCTCGTGAACTCCGAGTTACGAGTGGATAGTAGACACTTGTGGTTAAAATAGTAGCATAATTTAGTGGATCAACAAATTATTAATTTCTTATTAATTATATTAGCTCAGAACCAGTAAAATATTCCTAATCTGTTTGATTTTGTATATATATTTATATCAAAATATATTCAATTCTGTCTCATTAATTAGTCCAAAACATATTTGATTTATACTTATTGATGAGGCCAAAATGTAACTTATTTTCAATCATTTATTCGGCAAAAGTCGATTCTAACTCATTTATAAGTCCGAAATGCACTAATTATCTTAACAGCAGCTAATGCTGCTATCTCTACTCCTATTATCTTGGCCGCCATTGTGCGAATGTGAATGAGTGTGAGTGCTGGTCTGACAGCCGAGGGCAACATTTCAATTCGGCTTCGTGTCGTCGTCGTTGCCACTGTCGCTGTCGTTCTGTTGTCGCTGTGTTGTCGTTGTGTTGTCGTTGTCGTTGTCGTTGTCGTTGTCGCGTTCGTCATTTTGGTAGTTTGTTTTGCTCGGTTTGTTGTTCAGTTTCGTAACTATTTGACTGTGTGTGAGTGTTCTGTGTGCAAGTGTGAGTATGTGTGCGTTTGCATGGCGATTAATGTTAATGTGTGTGCAGCAGCAGCAACACTGCACAGTGAAAAATCAAGGTTAACTCCAATATACATAACGCCAGATAAGGAAAATTACTCATTTATATTTATAGAAATTGTTTTCATTATATTGGCATATGAATACACTTAAGGTTACCAAACACCAAGCAGTTATTTAATATGTCAAATATGCCATTAATCATTTATTTAAGTAGTAAACAAAGTTATTAATTATACACCAATTTATAGTATAAATTTACACATTTATTCTTGCATATGAAAGTATAGAATGTTATTGAAAATGTTTTCTTTTAAGTCTACTTAACTACTAAAGCTAATAATTTCGTTAGAGTTTTATAAATAAAATTGATAAATGTATTTGTAATTTTAACGGTGTAAACTCGGCAGCTGGCTGGTAAATTATTTTCAGCCTGGCCTCGACCAGAGTTGGAAATGCGTTCAATGGATAGCTTTCCTGGTTCGTGCAAGGGCAATCATTCATACTCCGTTTTGGCAATTATTAAACAAACGAAATAAATTGGAAGAATTGTGTACCCCACAAGAAAGGGAAACACTTCGCAGTGCTACCAAAACGTGTGTTAATTTAAATACGAGCACAATATGTGCTCTGGCAAGCCCATTATCATATCCCTAATTTCTTCCATGAATTCTTCAGCACCAAACACTTGCAACTTATGGCTCGTAAAAGCCAAGCACCCATTCATATTCCGAATCAAATTCAAATTTAAATTCCAATATCATTTTCCCCACCATCAAAGTAAGGGGGGAATAAGGGGGGTATTTGCAAGGACGAAGGACAATTGTTGCCGGGTGCTGGGAATGAAATTGAATTGCATGTGCGATTGCAATTTGTCGGCGAAGGGAGCAACATTGAGCATATGACGCATACGCAATGTTGGACCATGGATCACGGCCGACTCTTTGTGCCTTTCATATTCGCCGTGTTCTTTCTGTTGTTGCCATGCAAATTGCCCCGGCCCAGTGTCAGTGGTTGGGCAGTCAGGGGTTAAGGGGCTGCATTTGCATGCCTGGCGACCATGTGGCAAAAGCCGAACCAAACCAAGCCAACACTTAGCGAAAACAACACAATACCACGAAAGAAAAAATATAAATAAAGCTATTGATATTTATAAAATGGTAGGAAAATAAGACAAGGTAAGTTATATTTTACAAAAAAAAAAAAATAACCAAAACATCTACAAATGAACTATATGTTCACACATTTTTAGGAGATTTTATATCCCTAGAAGTTTTCAGGCAGTCGCTTTTTAATTAAGTATAACTTCGATAAGAATTTTCGTTAGCTTCCAAAGTGCAGTACTTTTGGTTAATATTTTGAACCAAATATCTGCACTTTAGAATCCCTATTTTCTTTGCCTGTGAGCTCAACTTAACTCAGCTGGTGCCGGCAACCTTCATGGCTAATAAGCAGTCACGGCACGTGAGGAGAATAGCGAAAGCGTTTTTCGGGTTGGGAAGATGGGGGCTACTCCAAAATATTATTGATCAAATGTTTGCCCCAGCACGTGGAGAGGGGGGGTTAAAACAAACAGATAAATCGGACGAAAAAAAAAACACGAGTGCAGCGGATTGCATTGCAGGGAAGCTGGGGGATTTTGCCCAGCTGGAAGTCGGATTTATGAAGATGAACATGAAGATGAAGATGAAGGCACCCTCTCGACCAAGTCATTTGCCTCGAAGGCTGACAAAACGATTTGCATGCTAAAAATAACAAAATTGATGGCCTTTTCACCGCTCCCTCCGCTCACACACACACACACACTCGCACACACACACAGCAGCGTCGTGTGCGTGTGTGCTTCATAAAGCAAAAAAGAAAGTCGGAGAAATGATGTGGGGGAAGTGAGGAAGCGGCGGTTGTTTTTGCGGCTAACTGGTCATGGCCACGGTGAAGGCGACAACGACAACAAAACAAAGGCAAATCAATTAAAAAATTTTCGTGAAAACAAAACAGAAACAAAAAGGGAAAATGGAAACCGAACAAAGAAAAACCAAAGACGAAAAGTGCTGGGCAAATATTTCCGCTTTACGTCAAGGTTGTGGCAATCAAAAGGCACACACTATACACCGCACACCATACACCACTCGCAAAAGGACGCAAAAAAATGCTTGATGGGATTGTTTCGTGCCGTCCAACATATCCGCTTTGCCACTTCAACTGCCAACTTGGCATTCCCTGCAATTGCCCCCGAAATCAGGGAAATAAATGTGCTGACACAGCAAGAAGTATTATTATGTACAAATGGGTAAAATATTTAAATACTCTTGAATTAGCAGGGAGCATTCAACTTCATAATACTTATTTTTAATGAGACACAGAAATTTGCTTAAAATATAATTCAGAAATCAATGAAAATTTTTGATAAATAAAAGGACCAACAGAAAATCTTTACAAAATTAATAAAACTAAAAACAGTAGAGCTTTAAGCATTGAGGAAAATAAATACAATTCAAGATTGCTTTATCAATACATAGACTTAAAACAAACTACTTCTAATGAATTACAATCGCTTTAGACTTACTAATAAATCCTATGGCAAGCATAAGCTTACTGCAAACTAGTCCAAAGTCGAGCACTTTTTGAATGTTTTTAACTACACCACTAAAAATCGACGGAAATCGTGTCACATATTTACATCATTTTAAAATTATCCTGCATGACAAACTGCTTTTGCCTGTTTTGCCTCCATTCCGATGCGAAACGAGATTTCGAGTTTACACACAAGCCACATGCACACACATTGAAAAAATATTTGAAAAAATTAGCAAATCAAAATGCAACGAGCCGGTTAAATAGAGTCTCCGGAGACTGGAGAGTGGAGACTGGAAAGTGGGTGACTGGAGACTGGAAAGTGGGTGACTGGAGAGTGGAGACTGGAGACTGGAGATCACTACCTCTTCTTCTTGTGACGCATCTCTGCTGGCGAGCGCACGTGGGGCGCCGCATGCATAATTCCAGACACCAGTTTTGTGGATTTTTTGGGGCACCCACGCGACGCACGAAATCCACCTGGAGGCGCCTCTTTTTTTGTGTTCTTGTTTTAATTAGGGAGCGATGTGAACGGGCGCGCGCGCCACTTGAAAGTGCAACAGCGTGGCGGGTTGACACGGCCACAGCGACAGTGGGTGGTTGGGAGGTCGGTGGTTCCAAGTCGACTTGGTGGTTGCAAGTACCCACGGTGGGTCCACAAAGACAACGATCGGCGGTGGCAATGTTTTCCCTACCCTTTCGAAGGGTACTTCCCCACATTGTATCGATTTAGTATACGTTTAACTGATAGTTCGTTCTAAGATTTATAAATTATTTTAAACCATAAATAATTAAAAACCCTCTTGGAAAACCTAATTCATGTTCAATTTACCCTGCTTAGCTAACCACTAATTATTGTACACAAATAAATATAAATAATCATATAGCATAATCAACAAATTGTCTTTCAAAAATCAATTCAATTGTTTTCTATATTGCTTACTTTAATTAAGCATCAAAACATGGGAGAAGTTTTTGAAAAGGTAATAAAAAGTTGGCAAGAAAAACTTTTATGAAATGGTCTAATGCCCAATACTCAGAGCTATCAATTGTAACACCATCTAGTATTTAGTAACTGATCGGTTGTAGAGTGTAGTTTAAGAGCCGGTCTTGCCAAAACGCCTCCAGTCAT